TTTTTTTATATTAAAGCCAACATTGAGGCACTCAGACTGTCACGCGAGGCCCGCGTTAAAGTCGACTGCAAATTTAACCTGCCTTTATATCTCTTACCAAGCTCCGGAACTTAGCAAACCACCGCACCGCGCGTTTGCGGCCACGCAGATTCGGAATAAATTACTGTAAGGGACTGGAAAATACGTTCTTTTTACACCTGCCGTGTATAGTCGAGATACGCGGAGATAACCGCATCGCGTGGCCACCGCATACGGGGATCTTAATGAGAATACGGCGCGACTTCGCTCAATCGCTTTAAGACTCGCAGCGTCAAAAGTGTATAATTTCTATTATATAATATATTAAATTGATAAAATCTTTTTACGGAATGAAAAGGATATATATATCCTAAATTATATATGAGAAAGAGCTTCGAAAACAGTCAAATTACAATTTATACAAGTGACCGCAAAGGCAAACAAGAATTAACAAACAATAATTCACTTCCTTGCAGGAACGGGATTGACACAGCTGGATCTTTCCCAAAATTCGCTGAGTAGTGTCCCATCCCATGCGTTGCATGACCTTCACCATCTTCTGATTTTGAATTTGAATCGTAATAAAATCGCAGCCATTCACAACAAGGCTTTCGAAGGTCTCGATACACTTGAAATCCTAACGCTTTACGAAAACAAGATATCTAGTATCGAGCCAGATGCATTCAAAGGACTCGATAAGTAAGTGCTTCTACTTTTTATATTGCAAATTCTAAGAAAATGAAAACAGAATCAAAAAGCTCTTTCTTATTCAACTTTTACGATATAAAAAGAAAAAAGAACACTTAAAGTTATATTTGCTTAGTTAATAGCTAATAAGATAATACGAATTAAAAATAAAGGCCAATATTCCAACCTCTCTTTAATTGTAAGAAAATAAGAATGGTTTTAAATTTCGCGTTTCTAGCCGGAGACTCAAGAGGCTTAATTTAGGCGGAAACGAACTTACGAGAATCCCAACTGAATCTTTAAATTCGTTAGAATTGTTGAAGAAATTAGAACTGCAAGAAAATCGCATAACAAGCATAGAAGAAGGTGATTTCGAAGGTAAAGTGTCGATAATTTATTCTATTTTCCAAAATGTATCTTTTTTTGAAAACCCCTTACGAAACTTATTTCAAAACGTACATAATATCTTAGAAACACATTTTTACAATCAATTCAGCTTTTCTCTGATCCCTTTTTACATAACGATTTCAATTTTGATTAATCAACTTTTTCAATATATTACACACACTCGATCTATACATACAAATAAAATAATTTTAATAGATGCATATATATTACGGGTATTTCATACCATTAATGAAATGGACTCATCGATAAAACGTTTTGCCCTTTCAGGATTGAAAGCACTCGATTCATTAGGATTGGCGCACAATCACCTCCGCGAAGTCCCGGGGCGTGTATTTTCCCATTTGACACAATTAAACTCTTTGGAACTCGACGGAAATCAAATTACCCACGTGGATCCCAATGCATTCATCGGTCTAGAAGGTAACTGTAATTATAACTTAAAATAGTTATTTTATCTATTAAGAGATTTACACACGGATACAATATTTAAAATGTTTAAATTATTGTAATATTAATTGTGTTATTCTTTACAATTTTTTAATTAAATAAAACATTAAAGAATTTAATAGCTCAATATATAATAAAATATTATAAAAAATATATTATCTATTGTAAGCATATATAAAAAATATAAATGACTGACGTCACATTTTATTTATATTTATCGAATAGTTTAAATTGTATACACGACACGTCGAGATAAATCGTTTCAATACTCGATTTCAATACAGTCGCGCGATCTTATGTTTACTTTACCGTGAAATCCTCGCGGTCTTTGTAGATCACGTTCTATTTTATTTATCGTTCCGAACATCGCAACTGCTTAGCATTTAAATTTACCGCATGCCGCGACTGCTCGCCGGCGATTCCTTTTGGATGTGGATGTAAACGAGCAAACGACACTTTACAAACAACCCTTCATCTTGCTACATCCTATAAACACGAATTCGAATATCAAGATAGTATTTCGACAAAGCGATATTCCATGCCAGCGAACAGTATTGACATTTTCGACGATTTAGTCGAGCAACATATTGCTAGCTTTACGATCAATAAGACAAATGATTCAATGATGTATAAACGTTGTTATAAACAAATATAAATTTAATATTAGTTTGAATTAATGTCTTCTACATTTTGATTCGTCAAAATATATTCTATCGTTAAAAATATCGTAATTATCATCACATATTTTTATCTCTCTTAAAATCATTTTAAATAAAAGATTAAAATCATATAATAAATATATGTCATCTACATTAGAAATAGATATATGCACACATTTTGAATTATATATATATATAATCCTTTTTATCCAGTTTTTTAAATATTTCATCAGAAGGTGATAAATTTTTTGTATTTAGATTATGTATTATTTCTCGTTATGATGACGGATCCAATTAGAGCTTTCGATTAAAGTATTTGATTCATACTTGCGTAAATTTTTTTTCAATCGATTATTTATTCGCTGCTACGAGTAGCTTGATTTGTTAACTAACTACAATCCATCTAAAAAAATTCGTTAGAGCGAATAACTCTCGAAGATTATTATTGATGCTTCTCACGTAACGAAGCTATCTACTGCGATATAGATTGCTGCCACATTCGTCCTAATATACATATTTTATATTCTTGCGTGACTGTTTTAATTACATTACTCGTATCATTACACGAGAAAATCAATGAACTCTTCTTTCACAAAGAAGCTGATAAACAAGGAAGTTCAATGAAAAATTTTGGAATGATCAGTCTTATTTTCGCATCCTCAATATCAACGTTCTTTTTAACATATTCTCTCTCGTAATCTTTAATCTTTCGTTCCAGAAAATTTACAATATTTACGATTGGGAGATAATAATTTACATTCGGTACCGAGTGACGCTCTACGACGTTTGCATCGCTTACGCCACCTTGATTTACGGGCAAATAACATCACTGCACTTCCGGAGGACGCTTTCACGGGCTATGGAGATTCCATCACTTTCCTTAATCTGCAGAAAAATATGTAATTTTCTTTTCTTCCATATACTGAGGATTTAGGTCATATTTAAATCAATTGATTATGCATTAGAAATTCATTTCTTATACTTCGATATGATAATCCATAATTTATTAGCATGAATATACTGAGAAGTTTTCTCTAGTGTATACTTAGCATTCTGCATCATTACACTATCTTTTCAGGATTAAAACACTTCCGCCTCTGGTATTCGAGAACCTTAATTCGCTGGAAACATTGAATTTGCAAAACAACAAGCTCTTACATATCTCAGAAGAAGTCACAGAAAGCATCGTTGACACTCTACGCCATATCGATATAACAGGTAACGTATAATATCTCTTTTATTGTCAAGTAAACAGTACGAGTTTTATGTGAGATAGTGTAAAAAAATAATCAATGAAAATAAAATAATATATATTTTATGTATATATAATCGCGGTCATCTAACTTCTTTGAAAATTGTAATCTTAGCGAGATTGCATCTTATCAAATTTATCAGATCGCATTTCGAGCATTAAAAATTTCATTTCGCGCAACTTTACTCATTTTTGTTTCCTTTCCTTTCCATTTCTCGTCCATGCAGATAATCCTCTGACTTGCGACTGCGACCTACGATGGTATTCCATATGGCTCGCAAATCTGCGCGACAAGGACGACGAGATGATGTCAAAGAAGCGAACAATCTGCACGATGCCCACGGAACATAGCGAGTACTCCGTGCAGAATATTCCGCTCGAGAGGATGGGTTGCGTAGGCAAGAATGCCGGTAAATACTCGTCGTCGGCCACCGGATGTAAAATCGTGGACGCGACGATATTGTTGTTCGTTCTCATTGTCGTTCTGGTATAAGTCCGGCGAGAGTGCGCTACTTCGCGATTGCAATACCATCGACTTTTCGTTTCGACGCCGACGAGACGGGATTAACGATTACGTTTAGCATTAACGTTTGCATTAAGCGTCGCTATGATCGCGAATCATGATGAGTTTTTGGTTTCGTTATTCAAGTTCTACAAAGATGAGAGAGAGAGAGATAGAGAGAGAGTTTTCATAACGAGAGACTTTCCTCGCTTATTTCCCTTCTTTCCTTTTCGAGGTAATCGTGACGCGATAGCGGAGACGTGTCACGATTCCGCGATGAATATTTTTGTCGATGTAGAGCCAGCCTTTTGCAGAGAAACTGAAGTGAAACTTTATCATTACACGCGCAATAATTTAAAATACTCATAGTGAGATGTGGCCTGTCATAAAAATGACGTAAGCGAGCTTCGACACGAAAAGTTGACGCATCATCACGATCGACAGAATGGTAGGAGATTTTAATCGTAGTCGGATAAACCAGTTGACGAAGAAAGCTTCGAGAATCCAATACGCGAACGAATTATTACTACGGCTCGGTGTGACGGGAATGATTGATTCCTTCGAAAAACCCTTTTTTTATTTCCCACGAGGGGCACACGAAGACAGACATCCGTCTCGTGTACGGAATGATATATTGGGCGTATATATAAATATATATAGCAAATCGCGCGTTTTGCTTTTTTTTTTTTTTTCAGTATAGCAGACACGCGTCCATGCAACCGCAATCGTGTATGGACATTCATATAACGTGTTGTAATTGCGACAATCGACTTCTCTTGAGAACTGAGTACTTTAAATTCTTTCGGATACTTGTCGGGCGTTTTCGCAATAATTTTTTCCCGGATAATCGAAAGATCCTTCGTCGGTTCGATTCAATTAACGCGCCATATTTATTCTACTATCTGCGAAAATCAGTTTGTCGAAACGTTTGGATTTCAATCGAATCGATACACACTTAAATTTTCTCGGCGTTGTTTCTAAATTACTCGAGAAGCTACAAGATGAATTAATTTAATTTTAATGCTTAAGCATTGTCCAAAGAACAGACCATCAAACCAGACTGATTTATTCGTTATGAAAACTTGATCAAGCCCGCGTAACGATAACAATTTGCGAAACAGTAGCTATATTAAAAAATTAATCGTTAACTTCAGATCGCAATATGTATCACGAGCAATCCCTTTCCAATTGTCGAAATGATAATCACATATGTTGCACGGCTAGACAATTTTAATATAATAATAAGCGGTGCGTAGAAGATATACTTGCTACGAGAGCGGATTTATTTCTGATGATATCATTGTTATTTATAGCACACTCAGATGCTTTACGATCGAATCGCGTCTACCGCAACTGCAAAGTAAATGATAAAATACGCGGCTTTCCTGCTGTTCGATAATTTGTCAGATTTCTATCGAAAACGAATAGATAATACATATTCTCCACAGCAATATGACGTCACTTCATTTCGCAGAGTTCGATAGTAAAGGATCTGAGCGGTTGCTAAGATCGAACGTCGATCGGGTGCGATCGACGAGTGGACCGAAGAATTCTCGTCCGCGAGGAACGCGCGAGATTTCTTCACCGGAACGTTACATATCAGCATCGTTGCCAATTATTTCGTGGTTATCTGTTATTAAGCTCGCGGCGCGAGGCGCAGTATATTCACTAGCGGATACGAGTGGTCGGAAGTCGATCGCCGTTAGGCACGATTTCGCGCCACTCGTCATATACATATCAATACGTTCCTGTTGAACAATAGTCGGTGTTGCAAATAGCCGGCATTCTCTATGATGCTCGCATTCTCCGTATGTCACGATCTTTCCAGAAGCTTTGAAATATTATTTTTTTATTTTTTATCCAAAAATTTTTTCAATTTAAAAATTTACAATTATTTGTGAACGGAGATATAATGCTTTTCATATTCATAATAAATCAGAAAATTAAAAAAAAAAAGTTATTCGAATTTCTTGCTTGAATTGCTTTAATATATAAATAGTTGTTTGATTAAGATGTATTAATTAATGCACATTGATTACAAAATAAAATGTGTGTTAATTAAATATTGTGAGAGAATTAAAAGAAAATAATCGTGAAGAAAATGTATTCGTGTAACGCCCGTCTCTTATCAATTTTTCTCCTGGAATGTCCCTACGCGGCAGTCGCTAACATCTTGAGATCGTCTTGATACTTAATTCGATTCGCAAAGACTCGACCGCACGAAATGAGATAACGACTGTGCTGATGACACGTAATACTCGCAAAGATACTCTAAGCAGGAAAACGACACTTGTCAAAGTGTCGGTAGAGCACAAACGCGGTTATTCAAACGCCTCGTTGCGTCCGCTTTACGACTCGGCTACTTCGCCGTCGCTATACGTGTGCGCTAAAATTGCATCATCTTGTAAAAGGAGGCATCACATGCGACGCACATGTTCGCGAGACGAACAATCACAGGCGCGTAATTCCTGATTTGTATATAAAATATTTATCTCTTCTGTCTTAAAATAATAATTTATGCTTATATAGCGGAAAGAGAGATCGTGACATACGGAAATATAAACTATGCGTGCTTCGCTTCGAAAAATGTTCGGCGGATGCATCCACCAATGCATCCAGCGACGAACGCATTTCTGAGAAGACATATCGAGCAGAAAACCGATTGCATAGAAGAGCGCTGTAGAATTCATAGGAACGTAGTGCTGATCACAGTGCTAATGCGGAAAGTAATATGTGTTTTGCTATTCGATACGTATAATAAGGATAAGATAGAATTAAGCCTAAGGCATTATTATAAGAAAAACTTGCCACATGGCGGGATACTAAGGACACCTGTATGCGTTATATTGGCGTGTCCTGCCGAACTTTTTGAAAGAGAATTTTAGTAGACGTAGAGGAGAATTTTAATTCAATAACAGTTCGCTGCAAATATTTTTTTTCTCATAAATATACTATTTCGTCGATAATTCAATAAAGAGAACTTATATGTAGAAAAATAAAATTTTAAGATTTTACACATATGAAAATTTAAGAAAAAATTATGAACTATTAAATCCGATGACGATAATGTGTGACATGTGACTTTATATTTATCTGATTCGTATATCGCGTGAATTTTACTTGTAATGGTTTTAAGTTTATGTACTGAGGCCATCAACTCTCTGGAAAAAATCGTGTGATTGATACAGTGCGATATCTAATTTGCAAAGATATATTTAAAAAATAGGATCTTCTCTTTCGAACGCGTAGGCAGGAGCGCGTGACGATATCACATACCACGTACACATATCATTTATACGCCCAAATCTACTTGTAAGATAAACTGATTAATTAAGTCGATTTAAGGCTTGACGAAGCTATAACGACTAAAGATCGTATACATATCGTGAACGTACGAGATTTAAGAGAATTTATTTGTTAACATATACATATATACATATATGTACGTTATATATAATATATATATTATTATGCATTATTACGATCATAAAAGATATATATTATATACCTATATCTCTTATATATACATATATACGCACTAGATGTTTTTTCTAAGAAGTTATATTGGTAAAGATATAAAACCGCCGGGCATATACTGACGTTGTAAAATTGATTTACATTTAAATCTATTTAAATAGAAATGCTCCAGCTTTATCATTTTATTCCTATTTCGTTATGTTTTATCGTAAATATTCTAAAATATGGAATATTTTCTTTTTCTCTAAATAAAAAATATTTATGTGATTCTATGTCGCTACATTAAATTTAAATAAGTTAAAATAAAAAATTAAAGATACGCCGAATACGATCCTCTGCAGGCCCTACATTTAGCTTAGGATCCGTACGAGGCATATCTACATCTATTTATTATTCACATCTCCCAATTTTTTTTTTTATTTTTTATAGATTCATGCGGATAATTCACGGGCACATGATTATTTTAAAAGATCTGTGTATAATTATGATTACAAAATAAGATAAAGACGGCAGTGTATGAACGGCAACAAGTTACAAAAAAAAAAGTTGATAGATACGAAAGTAAAACTAGCGAAGTAGCATAATTATATCTGAGTCGGAAGTTTGATATATATACTTTTACTTTTATTGTAACAGTCGATAAACAATGCGTTTGAAATATAATGAGAACATTTTTTTCGAATCATCTTTCTGATATCTTATATTTGAACCGATTATTCCAGCGTTCGATATTTTTTTATCATACACACATATTTTTATTTCTTTTCTATTTCTAAATTTAATTTTTTTGTCACTAAATAATTAGAACAAAGACAACATAATCGTGGCGATACTTTTTCACAGATCCGAACCCGCTTAAATTAAGAAAGATTAATTCGCCGAAAAACTTCCGGCTTGGGCGCGTTAGAATATATCTTTAAGCAACTTTTAGAGCGAAAACGGGAACGTCTAGTTCGCGTGACTCTAATCCTTTCGCTGCTGAATATAACAATAGTATATGCCGTGAATATATGCTGTGAAAATGCTCTAGTAATTATCGTACACGAGAATACTGTATTTGCGTAACGCACATACAATTGTTGAGAGGCAAAAAAGATCACTCAAAATCCAAACAATTCACAAGCATAGACTGTAAAATGACATTCGTCCTATGCGCTTATCAGCAGTCGCAGTATCGAAAGGATTACAGACATCGTTGGACACCGAGCCCGCAGAACCATAACGAGACATATCGCTGAAAGACGGCGCCAGCCCCGTCGGGCGCGCCCTTTATTATTACTAATTATTATAAGCGGATATTTTTGTACAGCGTCTTACAATGTGGTCGGATCGTTGCCGGCACGCCCGACGGACGCACTCGGCCCTTCTATTTACTTCATTTAATAGCGCGCGATACCCTGAAGAGACGCGTAAACGCATATATTGTATACGCGCACATCAGACGATATATATACATATATATGTATATATTTATATATATATATTTATATACATATATGTGTGTATATATGTATGTATATTCATGCGCATGTGTGTGCGTCAACGGGACGTGTAAACGAAATTATCGATGGTCCCACTCAAGACCCACCCGCGCGTAAGAACGATAAACGGAGCTTAACTATTGATCGAAGGATAATATCTTTGTAACCTCGGTGCTCGCTCACACGTCGCTTCTTCGCACGACTCGAGAAACCTCGTATCTGTGTTAACACGTACTCAATACACATGTACACGACATTATACGAACACGCATCACACACGCAAAAACACGATAACACATTATAATCTTACGGAGCATTCCATCCCCCTCTTTCTCACTGTCTTCTATTTAAGAAAAAAAAAAAGAAAAAAAAACGATTGTAATTCTTACATATATAAGAAATAAAGTCCGTGTGTGAAATTAGATATATAAAGAAAGATTAGTTCTCTCTCTTGTCAATCAATGTATGTACACATACATCTTTCGGCATAAATGCTCTTAGACGAAGATACGTATTACTGTCGTATACAACACGTACCTAAACGAACACATGCATACAAGACTAAATCACGCCTAATATTATATCGATGTTACATATATGACACACATACACGAATTCGTCTGTATATGTCTATACATAATGTTACATATATATATATATATATATATTGTCATGATATGATGTAACTATTACGTGATATGTATGTATTATGAAGCATTTCTCCCCTATCGGCCCGCAACTCGGGCATCTACTCAAATTCTAATGTCTACATGTCATTGTTTATTATATCGTTAATGATTATTACGTGTATATGTGAAACTTTCAAATGAATAAAAATGACATAAGCAAACTCTTATTCGTTATCATCTGTATCTTTTCGTCGTTTTATAACAAAATAATTATTTGACAGGTTAACTGCTAGTCGTTATAAATTTAATAATTTAATTTAATTGCGATATTGTTATAAATTTAATACTCGAAGAATCGACATTTCCTAATAATAAAATTGAGAAGATGTGATTGAAGAAGAATATCAACGCATTATGATCAACGCATTAACTAACTGTTACCTGATCAAATTAAACAACGATGCTTTTTCTTCGATAATATATATTATATAATAAACAAAAAAGCCTTATTTATTAAACAATAATATATCTATCTTAAGAAAAGTTCTCCGCTTTTCGTTATTTTCCGAAATTCAAATACTATGTATCCTGCATGATATTAGCCAATGAATTTGTCCAAAAATCTCGATTCGTTCCAAACTTAATTAAATTTGGCTAACATCCCGAACTCACGTAGGTCAATGTCAAATTCTGGGAACACACATAATAAATTACGATAATAGCATTGTGTAATTTTAAAAAGAATCGAGAAAAAAAAATATAAATATAAATACAATAAATGCATCAAAAAGATACGCGATATTGTGAAAATGTCCTGATGTTTTCAAACTCACGGATTGTATAAAATTTGCATATATTAATATCAAATATTATTTTTTGTTCAAATCTGTTTCATATAATTATTGGAAAAAGTTCCTATGTTTTTTAATCTACAAAAAATTTATGTTAGAAATTCCAATTAAAATATTTTCATAATTCTATTATTGAAATAATATAATTGTAATTTGCTTGTTGATATCATAATTAGGCTCAGTGTTTCAAAAATAAAGCTGTAGAATCAAATAAATAAAACAAGAAAGAAAATTATTTTGGAAATTATAGTCAAATGGCTGCATAAACAAATATGACAAAATCGAAATGATCGACGGAAACTTGCGCTTTTAACTATTCTAAACTTAGCAATCTTCAATGAGTCGTTTATTATGGTAATGAAGCGATTCCCCCACCCAAAATTATTTTTAGCCGTTAGGTCAGTAATTCGATTTAACGTCGAAGCTTTATCTGATTGGCTGGTAGAGATTAACATACATATATCGAGGTTAAAGGTAGAGTTGCCAGATGATTTTTTTTCACATACGAGCTATCGGCAATCCACTGCAATCCTCTAAAAGGATGCAATGCCAATAACAAACTGCTATATATACGGTACGCTTTGCAACGTATAACCGCTTTCATGTTCGCGAATAGTTCGCTATGTGCGGGGAAACCGTTCCGCTATAACATGCAATCATCTACGTCATACAAAGATAATATCAAATATGTCACGAGAGAGAGAGAAAATTCTCCCCCAGATTAAATCATCTCTGAATATAAGTTAAATAACACTAGCTATACTATAATGATTATTAAAAAAATGTTAAATTGTTTCTCTTAATGAAAGAGAATAAATATATCTAAATTCGTAATTATTAAATAATTGAGCTCCATCATAAATAAGCAAGAATACACAATTATCGTTTTTGAAAATTTGTTACCAGAGTAATTCTGAGAAAAGATAAGAAATCTCTATCTCTCTGACATTATTTAAATAAATTCATACAAATATAAAATTACGTAGAATCCAAGAAATCATGCAGTGTATCTGGTATTATAAAACTTATTTCTCTAAAGAATGAAAAATTATAACATTTAAATAAATGTAGACATTCTTCGTGTGTATTCATAATAATTTCGTAAGATAATATATTCAATTAGATAAACGTTCACTTGCGTGAGCATGTTAATTGTTTCGCGAAGATACAGCCGTGAAAGCGTCCTAAATAAAAATCTTTTTATAGCGAGTTCGGTTCGATACATGTGATTGGCGATGATCTATTAACATCGATCGTAAGTGTGTATCTGTAGTATCGCTCTACTAATTAATTTACTACAGCTCAGTACAACTCTTTCGTTGGAGCAGTGAGTTAGCGTATCGAAAAGAAACTCTTTAATTATTTTGTAATTAATTTGACAGTTTCACTAGAACAGTAAATTTTAACGATATGGTAATTATCATGTAAACTTATATAAAGTTAATATTTGTTAAATTATAATTACGCAATGTTTTATTATAGTATTTTTTTTCGCGTTGTATTGTTAATAATTTATACTTTTAATTAATAATGTTCGTTTGATATTGCAGGAAGAAATTCAGCTTAGTAAAGATCAATTATCCCGTAAGTGCATTTGTATATTAAAGCAATATTATTTTCGTGATACAAACACTTCGAATATAATGTGATTAATTTAAAGTTACTATTAACAATTGCAATAAGTGTATTTAGACACTCGGCGTGGTATCTAAAAAAATTAAAACAATTTTTTTTTGATAGATTTGAAAATGGCATTTGACGCGTTTGATCCCGAAAAAAAGGGATGTATTGGTACAAACATGGTAGGGACAATTCTGGATATGCTTGGCCATGAAGTGAAGTCGGAGGAACTCTCAGAAATTATATTAGAAGTTGATACATGGGGTAAGTACAATATATCGATAATATGTGTGATAATATGACATAAAAAAGCGGATTAAGAGAGAATATAATTATATTCATCAGCTACGTATTTTAAATCTTCTCTATCATTTTAAACAATAGTGACAAGTTATGACCTATTTATTTCAAATAAAAATATAAGTTTTTTTTGCTTAGAATATAGTGCAGAAATACGTGTAATAGTTCTTGCAAAAAAATTACGAAAAATGTATCTTTTAAATAAATAAGGAATCCAAAAATGCATACATTACAACATATAACAAGAGATTAATCGTAAATCTCATATTGAATATTTATTTCTAGGAACCGGGGAATTAAAATTCGAGGAGTTTTGTCAGGTAGCGTCGCGCTTCCTTGAAGAGGATACTGACGCTGAGGCAGTACAACAAGAATTACGAGAAGCATTCCGATTATACGATAAAGAAGGTGACGGTTATATCACAACCGATGTGTTCAGAGATATCCTTCACGAACTGGACGACGCGCTATCTCCGGAGGAACTTGATATGATTATAGACGAAGTAGACGCTGACGGATCTGGCACAGTCGATTTCGATGGTGAGAGATCTTGTGTGGCGCACAGGTGCTAGTCTATTTCATCTTTGCAAATCTGACTATAACCCGGCGTTTATGTTGCAGAATTCATGGAGGTCATGACAGGATAAATTATGATTTTGGCACCGCGCGGATACATCGTGTCTATCGCCCACATATCGGACAACGAGCGTGCCTGTGCAAACAGAGAAGCCAAAAACTCCTCGAAATTGTATGTGACGCTGACGGAATATAAAGTCATGCGTTTATCACATAAAAAAATCCCGCCGTAAAATTTACGTTTTTTTTTTCTTGGATAAAATACGTGATTCGAAAGTTCCAATAGTGGATGTAATCGAAGATAAATTAAAAAATTTCTTAATAAAATAATACGCATGGAATGTAGCCATGTCAAACATAAATTGGAGAAAGATTTTGATATTCTTTTAAATTAATAATTAAATATAATAATGATAAGATTTATGCATATCGAAATTCATAATTATTAGTTTTAAAAAATCATAATTGAATAATATATTTTGCTTGCGTGATGTGTCACATGCCGAATAAAATTAGCAAATCGTTTATGTTATAAAATTATATATAAAACAAAACAGAAAGATCGCAAACAAGTGAGATTTATTTAATAATAAATTCCAATCAAACAAACTTCAATGTATGAAAATCATTAATTAATTATTTTCTTTTTTTAAAGTTTCAAAAACATAAACATGCAATTTTAATAAAAACTTGATATTTACTTTTTCTTTATTTTACTATAATAAAATTCATTGATAATTAAAAACACAATAGAATAAGATTATATTTTATTTTATTATAAAAAAAAATTTTGATAATATTTGTGAATCGCACTTTAAAACTTATTGATGTTTTATACAGGTGATTATACAGGAGAATGTATAAAGAAATGGATCTCATTTTTTTATATGCTATTTCAATGACTAAAAAAATAATAACATGTGCTTTGCAATTTTCCGTAATTTCTCATTATATTATAATAATAGCTGTAATCAATACAAGATGTTGCACCTGAAAATACATACTCGCGTGTTGGCAACTATAGTGGCACGTGCTTTGCACACATCAACTGTAGCATTACACACTCGAATCTGTAACAGCAGTGTAATCTATTGTGAACTTTTGTCGAAAGAGTAGCGTGCTCCAAGGAGCTCGACAATGCACGCGATGGCAAACGGCTGTATTCCGGAGTGAACGATAAAATCGCCTAAATATAATAGCAGCCACCGGGCTTTATGAGCTTATAATTAGGAACCTAAGAATAAGACCTGTGCACGATTATTGCATAGAGTCGTCTTGGGTCAGTCTCACCCATGAATTCTCTCCGGCGGTGAGCCAATATTGTCTATTGTTGCATCCATGCAACCGGTCACACATCGTGTCGCTCGTAAATTTCTGCGTTTTGAAACGTAGCAAAATTTCACAATGAACCGGTTGTAAGATGTCAGATATGGCGATGCGAGTTCTAATCATAAAATGTTTCCGCGATGGCCTGGTTAGAAAATGCGGCACAATTTTATTGCGATTCAAAGACATTTTAAGGGGACAATGGAAGTTGCCACGCTAACATAATCCGTATGCTACTGTATTCTTTAATATAATAAAAACATAATTTAAAAAAAGCTAATCCTCATCATAGTAAGTAAATAATTATTTATAGATATTTTTCTATAGAATTGTATAAATATTTTATCAATTATTTTAATCTAATATTTTTCTTCTATTATAATGCACTATAAAATGAATTATATATTACATATATCGTATCATACGATTTTTTTGTCAATTGTGTAGATTTGTAGATTTACAAATTTAAAATCCTTATTGTGGAATATAAAAAAATAACTTTATACATCTCATTTAAATAAAAAATTGTTCCAGATGTGAAAAAATTTAATATAATAGAATCATTTAGTATAACCAGATATGTCGTATCTGCAATATAACATTCAAATGAAATATAGCTTTCAATGCTCTTACATTATAATATACGTGTAGTACATTGTATATCTGACAACGTCATATACATAAGATTATTCTTTTCATTAATAAATGCATGGTTTCGTTATAAATAAATAAAATAAACTTTTATATAATTAATGTAGCTGGACGTAATACGTTTCACACATCACAGTTAATTATTCGCATCAAGACGGATTGCGTGCAATATGCTCGCATTAATTATTCCAATGTGAGAACGTCAGAATGTTTGGCCGTTTTGACAAATCGAATGTACAACTGCTAGTGGCATGGATAATTTTCGAAATTAAATGCGTTGCCATGAGTTCTGCAGAATTAGGTAAAATGCATCTATGGAAATAGAGTGGGGAGAGCGTCCTCGATGAATTTGAAAACCGCTAGACTCGGCATGTGTAGATATTACCTGGTCAATCACGTGCCAGAATATCATCGTTATGACCACTTAAAACAGAAGTCTACGGCCAGAATCTCATGCATACCCGGTTAAACCGTCGACGCCAACGTACCACGAGCAGCGTATAGTTAAAATCATTATGGCAAGTCATATAATTTTGATTAAAAATTATTCGTCAGATTGTCATATTTTTCCGCGACGAGAAGTGTAAAAATTAGATATACGAATAAAATTCATATAATAGCATTTAATACAATTATATAAATAATACAAATATAAAATATAATACAAATATAAAATTAAATTGAAAAAAAAACGATAATTCAACGACAAAGTTTAAATATTCATCCTAGATATAACAGAAAACTATTCAACAGACATAACAAAGATTTAAAAAAAGATTGGTTAATACTCTTGTAAATTTATTGTAAATGGATTATATCATTAGTGTGATATTTAATAATAATATTTGACGTTTTGGATAGTTACGGATAGTAATTATATCTTTCACCATTCCAGGAAGATTTAAATAAGGACCAATTAGTTTGTAAGTAAATTTCTTTTTATCATGATAGAAAAAAATGCAGGCCAATATTTAACTATCTTTTTTTTAAATAGTGTTGAAGAAAGCCTTCGACGCTTTCGACCATGAAAAGAAGGGTAGCATCGGCAGCAACATGGTGGGCACGATATTGACCATGTTAGGTCATGAACTCAGTGAAAACACGCTACAGGAAATCATTAGCGAGATAGACGAGGATGGTAAGCAAAATTACGTGGATCTATGTTCGCGCGATTATGTTCTTCACGTGCTTGACGTTTTTATATTGTATATATTTCTTGTATCGACAGGCTCCGGTGAACTCGAGTTCGAGGAGTTCTGTACATTGGCTGCTAGATTCTTGGTGGAAGAGGACACGGAAGCGATGCAACAAGAATTACGCGAAGCATTCCGGTTGTACGACAAAGAGGGCAATGGCTATATAACCACCGACGTGTTCCGCGATATTCTTCACGAACTCGACGACAAGCTATCACCGGAAGAACTCGACCTGATGATCGAGGAGATTGATGCTGATGGATCGGGAACGCTTGATTTTGACGGTATCTTTTAAACTGTCGATACATTCTCTCATTTCATTTCGCTTTTCATATTATTTATTAACTCTAAATAAGCCAATCTAATATGAGTTTTTGTACAAAATAGCCATGCAACTGAGAAATTAATATTTAAATTAATTTTTAAAATTAATTATTTTACAACTCAGTATTTTGAAAACTAAGAAAAAATATATTTCGGATTTAATAGTATGTATGTGTACCTTTTTAATTTTGTGACATAGTAAAAAATACTACTATAATATTAAATTATAAAAAAAGTTTTTACTAGATTTGATATTATGCTCAAGAAATATACCCATATCAAAATGTCATTAAAAATGTAAAACACGTGCCAGGGAATCTATTTAAAATAATACGTTGTGCACAAGAGCTGCAACTAACAACTGTAATTTGCAAGATAAGATAACATGTGACATGCTTTGAAAGCCAAGTAGTTCATTTAAAATCTGCTCAAGTTACGAAGTCTCGAGCCAAGGAAATTCGTTTCGCGCACGTCAACGTCAGGGAAGCTTAACATAACCGACACTAATAGCAAAGTCGATCGAACATTCAATAAGTCCCTCGCCTTGGGTGGTACGCCAAGTTTACAGCCCACGAAAAACATGAGGCGCCGGTTGATTACACTAACGCCCACTGCATTTCGCTCTGTTTCAGAATTCATGGAAGTCAGGCCGAGATTATTCGCACACAATTGGCAACGATCGTCAAAAAAAGAAAGAGAGAGGGCGTTTCTTCTTTGTCTCACACAGCACACACGCTTTTACAAACTAAACTACGGACGAACGGAAAATTGAACATTCACGGTGATATGTGGTATCGTTGGCTGATGATTAGCGGCTTTCATCATGCAAGATGAAGATTACATTTCCAAATGCTTTTGATCAACGTCAAAAGCAAGATATAAATAAAATCATCTCAATAAATCGGAACAGCCCCATCACGTTCACGCGGATAAAATAGCGGTGCAAATTTCTTCGTCACGGCAAAATGAGTACACGCGCAAAACTCCGATGCAGTTATCTCTAATCGCTGATCGCGAGGTAAGCTATAATTTCCTACTGTACGAGTATCACCGGGAATTCGTTCCGAGAGTCTACGCGTGAAATTATTGGGTTTCGGTAATTACTATATAAATCGTAAATTATTAAGTTTCATGCGCCTGCGTAACTACTGCGTGTTCTTTTTACGCGCTGCGCCTGAACGATATTATCCCGTCCGCGAAGTAACACATCATGTACAAGTACATTAAGGCGCGTTATTCTCTTCATAATTCAATCAATTAATCAATTGCGTCATTACGATAAATCTTTTAATTTTTCAATAAAGAGAAAATCAACAAATTGTAACCATTTCTTTACTACTTCAATTTTTTGAAACTTAGTTATAAAGCGAGGTACGATATGTAATCATAATACAGTAATTAAATTCAAAAATTATTCTAATGCTATTAGATATAATCACTTAGCAATTTCAGCAATTCAGAGCATGCTTCTAATTAATTAAAAACGTGAAAATGTTATTATCATCATTTGCAAGATAAAGACCGCTTTCCATATTATGTATGCGACTGTTCTGTGAAATAAATGTATTTTTCTACTAAAAAAAAAATTTCCTATTAAAAAATCCTATCTTACAATATCTCATGTTATATAGACAATTAATGAATAATGTGAATGAAATAAACATCTCAATACCATGTAATATTTTATGAAATATCTTAACAATACGCTTTATTCATCCACCCATCTGTTCCTGCATTACAATCTGTGGTTATCTATAAATAAACATTTAAAAATCAAACGCACGATAAATTATATTCTTAAAAGAACGTATATATAGATATGTATTTTCTCCAATTACTTCTGTTGATTCGTTTTTATATTGCGCGTAATTGCATAAATACGAAATTTATCAAATTAAATATGCAAGCTATCTCGTAATCTTTCTTTTTAGAAATGCAGCAAAAAAAAATTTAGTTATAAATAACCACATAATATACATATATTATGCGTATATATAAGCATATTTTTTATAGAAGAAAAATATATTTTATATTGGAATCCTCTAATACACACATATACATCTGTGTGTGTGTAATGTGTGTATGAATGGATCAGAAAACTGCATGTTACATAATATAAAATAATGACGAATAAGAATAGATTCACATAAATAGAACAAATGTTCGCAGCCATTCACACCGATTACTAGCGCTATCCGACTAGTAGCATTTCCGTTCTGAAATTGAACCACATAATAAGTATAGCAATAAACATAGTGGCGCGTGCAACCATGTACTGTGAGATACCTTACCAAATCAGGTATCTTTGAAATAATCCGTCACGGAATTATTCTCGCAATTCTCACGTCATCACGGACTAACCTGTTTCGTGAAGCTCGACAATCTCGAGTTGTGCATAGAACATAGAATCTTGCTTACAGCACAATTATTTGTTGCAGTTAATAAAAACAGAAATGTCGTAACTTCATCTCTTGACGATCCAATCCGCTTCAAAAAGAGACAGAAAGCGGGTAGTAATATAATATTTCGATATATCAAATTAATGCCATATAATAATTGCGACGAAAATAAATTGCAATAACCGTTTGAGATTCTATTATTGAAAATTGATATACAATAAATAGGACATTTCTTGCTTCTGAAATGCAATAGCGCCTGTTGAAATAATGATACTGAGCATTATACGTTGTATCAGAATAAGTGTAACATTCACATATCCTGTGATAGCGAATATCGTGCTCAGCAATCTTTTTTTTTCAGCAACGACATATAAGTCAAATATAATGATGAAACAAATGTTCCCAAGAGAAGACAATTTCTAGTTACCAAATATTGCGTATATGTGAAACTGGCGTATCATTTCGTGAAAACTCAGAAATAATTAAAAATTCTTCCTTTATTTTCGATAATTCTAGTTTTTAAAAATTTAAATAATAAAAAATTTAAATAATATATAAACTGGTAAGAAATGAACTAATAAGAGCCGAGCGTAGTAAACAAGGTGAGATTGAAAATCGTTAAAAATATAGTAGATATATTAATAATGCTTATAATTAAAACTATAAAAAATATAAA